CTCCTTGTTACAGAACCTAATGACTCTACTGAAAAAGACTATACTGGCAACTATAGGTATTTAGTTAACAGATCAATTTGGTACAGATGAAAGTGATACCAGGACTTCAGGCCTTCACCTATTCTTCTAACCTCTCCTAGGATTTCTTTCCACAAACGGCTTTGTTACCCTCAAACTCTTTAAACTGTCAAGCGCACCCTAAAAGTGAGCCAGTGCTTTGGTCATGCAGAGAAAAGCAACTGTTTCATTTAAAAGATGCCCCCCTTCCCCAAAGGTAAGCCTTCTCTTAATTCCTCTGCTGATTTGTTCACCAAATAAGGTAAAACAACCCTGTATAAGGTCCAAGATGATCTGGCCAGAGCTTACACAGGGCTTGGGACTCTCTCCAGCACTAGGGTCTCGCGTTTGGCCACGCAGAAACCAAGAATTTCTTCATGGGAGGAAGGCGACATGAGTCACATGTTCCCCATCTTTTAGCTCTAGGATGGTGAATGGGGCAGGAGGGGAACAAAAGGTAAACATATGAAGCTTAGGGGGAAGGGGATTAAATAAACCTGATGAATTTAACACCCAACTCTACAGGTTTCTTATGATCTGACCTGGAATATTCTTTTCTCTCAGTGATCCAGTAATGCTTCCTGCCAAGGTGCACATTGACACTTTATATATCGCTCATTATCTCAAGTGGACATTTGCTATCTTATAGACAACACCTAAAAATGTTACTTGTGATAAGCAGTACCCTTAAAAGACCTATCCCATATTGTTTTGAATTCCTTCTGAAAATAGTAGTGCACTTCCGGTGCCTAGGCACTCTTTTTCTATAGCCTTAAAGCTCTATATCTGCAGTTTGAGATTATCTAAGGCACTGCTGCCTCTGACTGAGAGTCTCACCAGATTTGGAGTGAAATTTGGTGATGTCCCTACTGTGCTGCTCAATGTTCTCCTTGCTGGAGAGAATGGTATACCTGAGAACCTGCAGTGCAAGGATCTCCCTGCTTCTGCCTAATTGATGCTGTGGATGTGTGCTTCCTCCACCACTCTTACTGCTTCATAGAGGGTTATTCACAAAAGAGCCAAAGGATTAAGCCGAAGCTTCGGCTGATGATTCGGCTCACTTCAGCTGCCGGAACCCACCGGTTCAGCTGAACTGAAGGGCCGCTGTATGGGCTATTCACAATAGCCCTTACAGCAGCTGATCGGCTCAGCCGAGCGCAACACATATGCTTCGGCTCGGCTGAGTCGAAGTCACACGCGAAGGAGGAGAACGGTCTGCCAAAGCAGACCGTTCTTCCCGTAAATGTAACCAACTGGGCGGAGCCAGCCGTGATGTCAAAGCATGAAGCCAGCCCATGAATGGCTGATTTTAGCTAATGTACGGCTGAAATCAGCCTACAGGGCCGAAGTGAATAGCCGTACGAAGTGAATAGAACTTCACTTCAGCTCGGTTATTCACTCGGCTTAGTAAATAGCCCCTTTGATCACTACCCTGTCAGTCATCAAGTTACCAGTGAGTGGTGGTGGTGGGGGGGGGTAGCTCTGACATAAGGAAGCAAAGTCATGGCTCTACCAAGATGGTTTACTTCACACAGCAACACAGTGAAGAACGGTAAGTCAGTAATATCTGCTTATCTTTTTATGAGTCAGCTTCCACAGTACAGGTCCTCTTTGGTTCTAATGATGACTCTTGGGGGTTGGCAAAGTAACCAAATTATATTGCTAAACTTTGTTATATAAAACTGAGGTCGGTGACTTGGACAAGGACCGGATGGATAGAAATGCCAATCTTTTGGAAGGTAAGCCTTTTAACTATGTATTTAGTTTGCCTGAAGTTCATCCCTAAATGTTTATTCTGTAACGTTCACATTAGCTATTATGCACGGTGACATATAACCCAGAAGGTTAAATGAAGGTTAAACGTAACACTTCAGTTCCTCAGCCTGGGATAATGGCGAGTGCCGGTATCTACGGCATTACAAAGTGATTTATTTGTGTCCACCAGCAGACAAAGCCTCCTGCATTGAGAAGATAATGCCTTGGCCACCCGCTACTTCTCATCTGCGCCCCACTGACTGGAAATCTGATTTGGTATGTGCGGAGATCTAATACTCAGCTTTTTATACCTCGCCGCAGCTAATAGCCACGTTTTATTCACAGTCTTTGCTTGACGCTTATACTTTTTATCTTTGTGTGAAATCCATAAGCTGGAATGTGAGCTGCAGGAGCTGATACAAAGATCTGGGGAAATGTCTAGGGAAACGACTGAGCCAGCTGTGCTGAACATCCCCAAATTAACTTTCTTTTCTTCCAGATGAGGGCCACCGAAACAACAATTATGGCACACTTTTCAGAGTAAAGAATGTTATTGTCTATGTTGGAGGAGAAGGTTATTATGAACTTGGGCTTTTTTTCTACATGCATGAGTAAGTAGCATAGTGAGCTGTGAATAGTGAAGGGTAACGTTTTGTCTAATTTCTAGTTTTTCTCGTTTTGGATTGACTATGGAAAGGTTAGAACTTTTGTCGGGTTTTATCACTGGATAGATTCACCCTCTCTTATTGTCTTGGTGACCACGTTCACAGGGGCAAAAAATTATGTAAAAATATTACCGCTGTCACTAGAACAGGAGGAGGAATCCGTTTTCAGTTTGCGGTTTCCACTGCTTTGACCAATCTTCCAGCAAAGCTAGTCTGTCCTATTTGGCATTTTTTTCTACAACATTCACTGTCCTCCAGGCACAGAGAACTTCGAATAATAAAGAAGATTAGGTAATGGTCCAACAACTATACCTCACAGTTTTCGGGGAACTCTGGGATGAATACTATCAGGAGCCATTGGTTTATTAAGCTTTAAGTGAGCCAGTTCATTTGCTACCTCTGCCTCTACAATCCCTGAACAAACCTTCACTGCAAGAACCAATATTATCCCCCGACTTGTCTTTATAAGTGCCATTTGCTTTTGAGAAGACTGAACAGAAGTAATAGTTGAAATGGTTTGCTACATCGAGGTCTCCCTCAACATAAGTATTGTCATTTTTGCAATCCCATAGTATCATTTCTAAACCTATCGGATTATACTTTCTCCTCTCTTCAGTCATTCTACTTGCTCAACTGACAACCAGGCATTCAACATTCCTGGGGAACTCTCTTCCTATGGAGGGATTTTTGGTTCCTCCATGCAGTGTCCCTTCCCTGTGGAGGGATTTTTAGTTCCTCCATGCAGTGTCCCTTCCCTGTGGAGGGATTTTTGTTTCCTCCATGCAGTGTCCCTTCCCTGTGGAAGGATTTTTGGTTCCTCCATGCAGTGTCCCTTCCCTGTGGAGGGATTTTTGGTTCCTCCATGCAGTGTCCCTTCCCTGTGGAGGGATTTTTGGTTCCTTTTAGATCTTCTAACCATAACCAGACTGCAAACTCTGTGCCACTTCCCCACCTCATGCCTGTTCTTTGAAAATAAGGCCCAGTTCACATCTGAGCAATCCAAGATCGGTTTTGTGTGCAATTGCCGCACGTTCGAGGAAAACGCGTACAAACGCAAGCCCCACTTGCGGTGCCATTCATTTGTAATGGCACCCCAAACGCAGCCAGCAATTCACGTAGTTTCTGCAGGTGCAAACACGCACAAAGGTGGCTGCAAAAAAAAGTGCATAAGCCTTTTTGGTGCGGTTGCCACGTGGATATGAGCCAATTGCACGTACGTGCGGTCCCGGGCAGCCCATATGTGAACCAGGCCTAAAAATCAGTGGCAGTGCCAACCTGACGCATTAGACCATATGCTTACAGATCAAGAACTGCCGAATAAAGCCTGAAACTCTAGAGGAAGACAGATTTACAGCTGAACTGAAGGACTTTAAGGAAAAGGCGAATTTAAGGCCATTTTAACAGATTTTGTCCACAATTTGTTCTCTATGTGGCTATTTTCGGACTGTTATCTTGTAAGACAGCTTCATGTGAAACGTTTGTTTTTGCAATAAGAAACCTCTTTACCGAGAAGTCCCATGCAGAGAAATATATAGCAAATTGATTCCATTTATCTACTTCATCCCAGGTTTAATTAAAATAGCATCAGTCAGGGGAGATGAAAATTGAGAAAGTTTGGCTTTTCCGCTCGAATTGTTTTTCTATAGAAAAAAAAAAATATTGATTTCTGCCCATAACAAAACAAAAGAATTGGTATTGTGTTTATCTTGATGTGGCGTTAACTGCCCTTCAGTTGTGTGGAACCGCTCAGGGTAGATCTTGACAGTCGCACAATTCCAATTTAAGAATACTGTTTGGCAATTGTTTCTGCATGTTGAGGCTGAAAGCTGTCTTCTTAGTCTGCCATTAAAGAGAAATTTCAGTCGAAATGAAAGAAAAACCTGCTTTCAAGAGTTACAATGACCACCGATGACCTGTAAAATCTATTCTGTTTTCTAGATAGGGGCCTGGTGGTATCATAGCTCCTTTCTCACATGTATACACCATTCAGTTCAGCAGTACTGTGATGCATCCATATGTCATGCTAAAGGAATACGAAGCAGAAGGGTGTGCAGACAACATATCTTCTAGATTGTATACTGTGGTGCCATTCACCAGTTGTTCCAGCAGCCGTTGGGTTCTTGGGCACATCGGTACGGCGTTCGAAGAAGATATTACTAAGACAGGTCAGCATGATGACACACTCCTATGGGGTGTGCTCATGAGAGCCTGGGTTTATCTAGTGGACTTTTGTTATTGGAGACCACAGAATAAAGCTATTACAGTAAATGCTGCATCTGCATCTTCTATTTTTTATTGTTGCTGGGCAATTAACCTTTTTATAAAGTCCTGCTTGAAAACTGTTATATTGCAGCTTTAAACATGTCCAAAAATATGGTAATCTAATTTAAACCAAACCCCTATGCTTAAATTTTGTCCCTCTGAGTTGTGTGAAGTCTTTTTGACTTTACTGCTTGCCCTGTTATGATGAGGAGCGGCTTAATTTGTCCTCTGCCTAATGTTTTATATTATTTTACCAGTTACTGTAGAATTAGTGGTGCCTTCTCTGTGCTATGCCAAAGTAAAGACAGGGGTGGGGCACAGGAAGGAAGAGCATGCTGCAAAAGCAGCCAATGGCATCCTGAGTTGTATGTTGGTGTTCTTTCATTTAGCATTGAAGTCAACTCTATAAATAGTATTAGCTATTTTTGAAGTATCCGTTGTGTCCAGTCAAAAAAATTAATACATTTTGCCCTTGGGATTCTACTGTGTAGTCTGCACCCCATGACCACTGAGACGGAAATCAGTTGTAGGGTGACAGGTGCTTCCTCAAAGCCATGCAATGCCAGAGATGCCACCGAAAACAGTCCCAGATTTGTCTCTGGTTTCACAAAGTGACTGTGTTATAAAATCCCTCTTTAATGCATGTCAGATGGAACTTTTTTTTTACATATTAGTAGGGATGCACCAGTACTGATACTAGTAACGGTATCGGTGCCGATACAGAGTATTTGGGCGGGTACTCATACTCGTCCAAATGCTCCTGATGCCTAGCTCGATACCAGAACTTCCAGTATCAGGAAGCCGGGTGGCAAGTCATTACACGCTGCTCAGCTTCCTGATTGACCAGGAAGCCGGCTCCATGCTCTCTCATCACCGGGGAGCATAGAGCGGGCTTCCCGGACAATCAGGAAGCCAGGCGGCGTATAATAACTCGTCGCCCGGCTTCGTAATTGGTTGGGAAGCTGGCCAATCAGGAAGCCGGCTGGTGAATCCTTACACGCCCCCTGGCTTCCTGATTGGCCAGCAAGGCTCCATGCTTCCCCGTGGTGACAACGGAGCGAGGAGACGGCTTCCCGGCTAATGGGGAAGCCAGGAGGTGAGTCATTACACGCCGGTCGGCTTCCTTAATGGGACTTCCGGTATCGGTATTCAGTATCGTCGAGTACCGGAAAAAAATGATCGGTACTCGATACCGGAAAAAATGTATCAGCGCATCATTAAATATTGGCATTATTTGTGTTTTCTCTATTTATAGACAAGAACCATATAAGGAGACACAAATTATTTCTTCAGTTGAATAAAGGTGTCACAACCTGATACACAGCCAGTGGCGGCCATCTGAGACAAGTGGTTTCCTGGACTAAATGCCAACCTGCATAGTGTCCGTGGATATTATTGTAAAATGTCTGACCTGTCTTGATTATGACCTGAAAAACAACCATAGGCATTCTAAAATACACCACCAGTGCCATACTCATTGCCCTAACTGGATATGGTTCTAGTGCTATTTAACCAGCTACATTGGTGTCCTCATGCTTTCCAATCATGGCAATTTCTGGGGTTGGTACTGAAGTAACGCTGAGGGCTCTAATAAAGGATAAAACCAGAAACCAGACCTAGCCATTCTGATCTAAACTACAGCAACCTGCCCTTGATATTCAGAGATAAAAAGAAGCTTGGTCTCACTTCTGGGCCTCTTATTCAACTTAAATGAAAAATAAGGAAGCTTGGTGGTTGAACCGGTACACGGCCAAGCTTAGCAGAAAAACAGGTTCTTCCTATACTTCTCGATCTACTGATGGTTTTTGACCTCAGGGTAATTGAGTTGTTCATCATCTACCTAGGTTGAATGGTCTAGATTTGTGATAGCTTGACTGCAAGATGTACAAACAGCAGGAGAACATCAAAAGGCAATCACATATATCTGGACATATACTTTTCTGATTCCAGGGGGAGGGGTTATAAATTGTTTGCCTATTACTAGAATAAAAAAAAATCACATATTGGCTTCTTCAGTGTACAAATGACTCGCCTAGGTGGTTCACTAGATTTATCATTACTATGCTCTCAGTTATCCAGGCACACTTCTGGCTGATGGCAAGCTTTCCTCTAGGATGGCTGACATATCTAAAGTCCGTAAACAGTGCAATGTGTTCATATGATTCCTGCCACCTAACTAGCTGCAGACATGCTGGGAATGATGGTGCCTAAGAGCGAGACAAGCTTTGATGTTCTGTAATGCTGAAGACATTTTACTACTTGGGTAACTCACTTTAATCCAAACCATGGAGTCATGTAATGCATCAAAGCAGATGTTGACTTTTCCAAGAACGTGAAGAGGAGGTATGAAAGTTTTCTTAAAACACCCCATTATATTGCCATAACCCAACCACCACTATGCCATGGTGTCTGGGACAGGTATTAAAGGAGAACTATGAGGTGAGTGCTTTTCACTCGCCTCATAGTTCTAGCCGACCAGGGACAATGAGACTGTCACAGGTCGGCTCAGTAGATCGGGAGGTGAGCGAACATATAACGGCGTTCGCTCACCTCTCGATCCTGTCACAGCTCTCTGCCGTGACAGGGGAGGGGCTGGATTCCCCCCTCCCCGCTCTGATCCGCCAGCGCTGACTGGCGGAACGGACGGGGGAGAGGGCAGGTACAGCTAGCTCTGCCTCTAGATAGGCAGAGCCAGCTGTCAGTCACGCAGCTGGGCGGATCCAGACATAATTGTCGGGATCCGCTTCAGCGTCTTAGTATACCGCGGTATTAGTATACTGCGGTATACTGCGGCGTCTCAGTATACCGCGAGCTACAGCTCGTGGTATACTGAGCCTAGGGTGACGGGAGGACTCTAGTTTGTGTCCTCCCGTTACCCTAAGGAGAACTATGGGGAAAAGCCTTAACCCCATAGTTCTCCTTTAATGGCTTAAGGTGTACAAAAGAGTATGATGTTAAAACAGTATTATAAGTAGGTGATAGATGGCATTAAAGGCCCCTACCCCTGTCTAGGTATAGCAAGTGTAGGTTGACATACAGTAGATTGCTTCTTTCATGCCTCTTGTGAAGTTTTTCTCCCTGCCCACAATGTGCAGCTCAATGTTCTCTAAAGAATGTCTCTTCTTTAGTCGAGCTTTACTGCCTGCAGGGTGGGACTGCTATAGTCCATTCACTAGAATCCAG